GAGAGAGAGAGAGAGAGAGAGAGAGAGAGAGAGAGAGAGAGAGAGAGAGAGAAACTACCGTAGTTTTTGATATGGCATAATCAAAGAATCCAGTGCATGTTTGCTTTGCTCAGCTTTACTATCCTTTCTCTCAAAATTATTCACAAGAAGTACCGTCTTTACCATGTATATAGCTTGTATTACATTTACACTCTCCTTACTCCCTGTCTTATTAAAGAATTTTACAACATAATGTTAATGTGAAGAAGCAGTAAATTGGAGATTGCTCTACAAAAGAGTGAAAGATTCAGAATTTTCACTTGCATTCATTATTGTATGGTAATCTCTAACAAAGAGTCATGAAAGTCTGTTGCTACTATATGGGCAACCGTGCATAATACACAGGCATGGAATAGCACTTAAACAGGCAACTTTTCGTACAGACAGTTCTATTAAATTACAACCACATCTCCTGAAGACACTTTCCTACTTGGTAGTCCATTTCTTGTAATAACCTAAAAAACCTAGAACAGAAGGCTGTTCTCATCACTAGGGAGTCTTTTAAATAACCTTTAAATTATTTCCTTTAAAAGATATTATGTCCAAGCTAGATTTGGTGACCTACCTGCAATGCCAACAGTTTTGATGTTAAGGCTGGAAGATAGCAAGTTTGAGGCCAGTCTGAACTGTTTATGAGACATGGTCTCAAATGAATAGGCAAATAGGTTTAGTTGTTCTAATCTCAAATAACTGTAGACACTAGTTTGTCTGTGTTTTCTGAGTCCTGGTAATATGTTAGTCATAAAGCAAAGCACTGCCTTATATTTCTCCTCTCCAGAGACTGCATAGCACTTACAGAGTGTTGTTTGCTTCTGCTCCACTCCTAGAAATTCTAATTCAGAAGGTGTGAAGCAAAGTCACTTCATCTGTTTCTGTTTCAAGTTTTAGAGATGTTTCAGGTGAACATTGTTCTAGTTGCATGACATTTGTAGCTTACATTTTGTTATTCCATGTGGAATCTTAAGTTTGATTCACACTGATTTTGTGGCTTTACAAAGATGAGCCTAGAAGATAGCTAGAAGAAATTATAGTCATAATTTAAATTTAAAGAGGAACTATTTTAAATTCTTCTGTGTTGGGAAAGAATAAGAAAAAAAATCCAGTCTACAGAGAGAGGCAAAGGAATGTGCTGGAAGTAGTAGAAGCGAGTACTAGATTCAAGACTCTTGACTGGAACTCTTTCTACACTAGTATCTTAGAACTTGTACCTCCCTAGAAATGTTGTGCAACTAAGCAGTGGCCTGCAGATGGTCGCAAACATCCCCACATGTGCACTGAGGCCTTCTGAAGTCTCACATGCACCAAACAGGAATTCCTCATGCTATAACGTTTATAGAAAGAATTTATTACTGACATTATAGTTAAAAATTATAAATATTACACAAAAATGGTTTTATAAGTTTTTAGTAAATATGGAAACTTATGGCAAGGGAATACCTAGGTTTGATATTGAAGGTTGTTGAAAACAAGCAACTTATTACTCTTGTTTTGAACTAAGTAGACCTGAATTGGAGTTTTTAAGTATTTAAAAAGAGGATCGTGTGCCTAGACTTGGGAATTCAACCAAGTAAAGGAAGCATGTATTTATTACATAAGGTTAGCTTTGGTTTTTCTTTTTTAGAATAAAGTATATGCCTGTAGATCAGTTACATTCAGAAAAATCTAGAAACAGTTCTAGAGTTGTAGGTTAGTGGTAGACCATTTACCTAAGTTTCAGTCCCCAACATAATCAAAGAAGGGATGAAGAGAGCGGGTAAAAGGATGGAAAGTGATTATTGGTGTGATTATTCCACAGACATCAAATATCAAACTCTGTTGTTCACTATGTCTATTCCTGTTGTTGCATTATATCCTGAAGGTACTTGGTGTTTCTCCTTGGCTTCTGTAGTTCTGTAAGATTTTCCTTCCATTTGAATCAGCTCTCTTCTTGAAAGAGCTTTTCTAGATAAAACTACCACACTCAAAACTTTCTGCTTCCATCTCATTGACCATTTCTATAACCCATTGTAACTGTACAGGTTGCTTTCTGCAATGGTCAGAGTCTTGGGGACTGGAGAGGTAGCTCAGTCAGTAAATTTAAGACCAAAAGTTTAACACCCAACCCAGAACCTATGTAAAAAGCCAGGTACAGTGACACACTTGTAATCTCAGTGCTGGAAGAGGAACAACACCGAAGGTTGACTCTGGCCTACACACAAATGTACACACACATCTGTACTGCACATATATAAACACACACTCATGCACACACACCAAAAAAGTGCTTTTAGTAAATACAGAGGGAGGAACAATGAATATTGGCCAGACAGGTCCTGCTACAACTAACTTTGAAGAATATAATACTGTTAGGGGAAAAAAATTTAGAGGCATTAAAAAATGCTATAGATTGAGCATAAATTTAAATTATCCCCAAATTCCATCTATCATGTGTTTGAAAGATAAAAGGAATTAACCTCTTGGGTAGAATGTTCTATGTTGAAATGTTTAAAATTAAGTGAAAAATGATTTCAGAACAACAGGAGAAGGAGGAAAAGACAATTTAGTTTAAACCCTGTTTCTGTTTGGATACAGAATAAAAATAACTCCAGAATTAGGAGGAGCCAAGAGTACCTTATGAGATGGTACAGACTAGCCATGAACTTACTGAAGTACTCAGGTGGTTTAGGGTCTAAAAGGAACAAGACAGATTGATGCAGTACATGGAAAAGCTAAGCATGCACACTTTGTAGCAATGAGTCACAGTATCTCCAGATACATAAGGCCTTCCTTGGGGAAAAGGATAGTTAGATATGTGTTGTTTCTGCCTGTGTTTCATCCATGTAAGTTACAAAAGAATGGTGGCTGGAGAGACAAGACAGTTCAGCCCTGAGGAGCTCTTCCTCCTCTTCTAGAGGACTGTGGTTCAGTTGCCAGCATCCCCATCTCATAGTTACCTGTTACACCAGCTCCAGAGGATCTGATGCCCTCTTCTAGCCTTCATGGGCACCAGTACATACATGGCATACATACACACGTACATATAAATAAAAAAAAAATTTGGTTGTGAGCCTAACCCTTAACAGCTGAGCCATCAACTCAACCCCAAAAATAACTCTTTAAAAAAGTAGAAAGATGGATGCCGAGCATGGTGGTAGAGGCAGGTGGATTTCTGAGTTCGAGGCCAGCCTAGTCTGCACATCAAGTTCCAGGAAAGCCAGGGCTAAACAGGGAAACCTTGTCTCAAAATAAATAAATAGATAGATAAAATTATATTTTCTTAAACTTTAAGGAGAGGCAGTAGTAAGTGACAACATACATAACTGTAGACTAGTGTACACATACCTGTGAGATGGCAATGTTTCTGCTAGATAAGATGAAGTCATTTTCTTCATATTTGTAGCTTTCTAAATATCCACTGTTCTCACGGTGTCATTTTATAAGCATTTATCGAATACCTTGGGTTTTTTTTTTATTGGATGTTTTATTTACATTTCATATGTTATCCCCTTACCCCATTCCCCCCCACCCCCACCCAGGAACCCCCATCCCCTCACCCCTCCTCCTGCTTCTCTGTGGATGTGCCCCTACCTACCCCCCCCCTCAAATTCCCACCCACTGGTCTGTCCAGCCTTCATGAGACCAAGGATCTCTTCTCCCACCTATGCCCAACAAGGCCCTCCACCCTTACATATACAGCTGGAGCCATGGATCCCTCCCTAAGTGCTCCCAGGCTGGTGGTTTAGACCCTGGGAGCTCTGGTTGGTTGGAATACCTTGTTTTTTCTGATTCACTGTAAAGAGGAATTAATTTACAAGTTGCTATTTAGGTGAGAAAACCCAGATTTTTAGCTTCACATATCTATGAATTTCAAATTTTGGAAAACTGTAGCATTTTAGATTTTAGTTTTTCCCTTTCCTTTCATAATTACTTAACAACAACAAATGCTAAGTGTCTGCTGACTCCTACCTGAGAGAAACAAATCCCTACAGAGATTTTGTGTGAGAAGAAAGCCAGTTGTGCTGGCCTAGGGCCAGGTTGCACCTCTTTGACCCAGCCTCTTCAATCTGAAGTCTCCTGGGGCAGCAGTTACCAACAACTCCTTCTGGCTTTAGCTGTGAGCCCTGGGAGTGCTAATGAGACCAACTAATGTAGCAGGCTTTGTTAGCTTGGATTTGAGCTCAGTGAGGCGTCCTTTGAACCTTTTATGATGCTGCACTTTCAGGCATCCTTTGGGAAGAATAGTTTACACCCTGAAGCAATAATGGATAAGAGACCATTTTCTTTTATACAGCAGTGGAAACGCCTTTGGTACTCTGGTATTAAATAACTGCCTATTTGGACATATTGTGCAATGACTTTGCCTTTTCTACCCAGTAATAGTTCCCACAGAAGCTATTATACTCAGTTTAACTTTTCCAAGAGGGACTGTGAAAGGAAATTGAAATCTTACAGATTACACTTTATATTACATTCACTGCTAATGCAGTTGTCTTATGTTTTAGTTTCTGTGACTCACTCTGTACCTCATTTACCACTCCACTTTCAGGTGAAGGCCTCCCACAGGTTTATTACTTTGGACCATGTGGAAAGTACAATGCCATGGTGCTGGAACTCCTTGGCCCTAGCTTGGAAGACTTGTTTGACCTCTGTGACCGAACGTTTACTTTGAAGACGGTGTTAATGATAGCCATCCAGTTGGTAAGTTGATGTGCAGTTCCAGAAGATAAATAGATCCCTTGCCCACCTCCTTGAGGGCCCTTTAGTGATGTATTAGCTACAGTGACATCTGGTGACTTAATTTTTTCAGGCTTAATAGCATTCTAGAAGGATCTAGCAGACTTCTGAAAGGAACTGTTGCAGCTGCTGCTTTAGCTGGCTCCTGTGTGTAATTTGACCACAAAGCCTCTTGGCCAGTGTATAACAGTTTATGCCAAACAGCTAAGGTAGGTTCTTAGTCACCAACTTAAAGGGTTACAAAAGGGTTAACTGAGGGAAGCCAGTGCATCTGCAGTTTGCTCTATTTAAGAGTTTGCACCTTGAAGCAGAACCATTCCTGTAACTGAAGTGGAGGAATATAATTTACATTAAGGAGAAAGAGGACGAATAGATGGAGCTTTGCGAATTCAAGTAATTGCTTCAGCATCTTATTTATAGGTCTTAGGGACATAGCTGTCAGCTTTTATCATGCCTTCTTTCTTTCAATGTTGAAAACTAGAAAAGATTGAAGGTACTATCCACTGTACTAACCTTTATTCAAAGTTATGTGAGTGAGATGTTTAAAGATAATATACCATATAACATGTGGCATATTATATACTTGTGGCCTGGCCAAGAAGCTTTACAGCCAAATTCAACAGTAGGTCCACCTTAAGCAGTTAGAACCGTCTCTTTGAGAAGTTTTTTAGACCCTCAAAGGAAGATTTCAAATTTTGGGTTGTTTTATTTTGTGGTATGATCTCACCAGTTTCCTTAGACTGGCTTTGGACTTGAGATACTCTTACTTCAGCCTCTTGAGTGCTGGGGTGGTTGTAGACCACCATACTTCCACAGCCTTGAGGTACAACTTAATTCTTGTGAAGTAGTGATGGTCTCACCATCATCCTATAGCAAGTTGGAAATACTTGAGCAGATTCTAGGATTTAAGCCTTCCTTTCTATGCTAAGCAGAAATGCTTTATAGATAAAAATTATTTAATAAAATTTGACACAATGTTACCATTACTTATTTTGAGCTGTGATCACTAAACTGCCCATCCTCTTACTGCTGCTGGCCAGCTGTCTAATGTCAGTCTAGCATCAATTTTAATGGGCCCCCGCTTTCTTATTTCTGTAATACCAAGGTTGGAGTTAAAGAGTCCTGAACAGCTAACAATATAAAATATGGGCAGGAGGTGAGGTGGCAGTGGAGCCTGTCTCAGAGGGCACATTTGCAAGTTACATATATAAAGTAAGGATATTACCATCTTAGCCAAATTGTATGATCTCATTGTTTTCTCTTAATCTTCATAGTTGTTATAAGTTTGTAACAAAAAGTATTTGGATGTAGGGGCTTGCTGGAGATGGATTCAGCAATTAAAATCAGTTACTGCTCTCGTAGAAATTCTGAATTTGGTTTCCAGCACCTACATCAGATAGCTAACACTGCCTGTAACTCTGTTTCTGATAGCCTCTGGCCTTGTACATGCACACAATTGATACATATAAACTCAGGAAGGCACACATACATATGCATAAATAAAATCACAAAACAAACCTTAAAATATGGCTTTAGTTTATATCATTAAAGTGGGAGATAAATAAGAGTGGATGTTTTGTTGTTTTGTTGTTGTTGTTATTGTTGTTGTTATTTTTTTTGGAGACTAGGTCTTACTCGGTAGCGCTGGCTAGCTTGGAACTTTCTTATGTAGACCAGGCTGGCATTGAGCTCATAGATATCTATCTTGGATTAAAGGCATGCACTACCACACCCAGCCAAGAGATGAGTTTTAATTTTAGTTTCAGAAACCTTACGCTGAGCCAGGGACAGTGGCATATCTATGGTGGCAGTTACATAGAAGACCCAAATAAGAAGATTGCTTAAGTTCAAGTGCTCAAGGCCTAGCCTAGACAGCAGAGCGATGCAGAACAATGGGAAGGAAAGAATAAAACTGAGGGCGCGGGGATATGTGAGGGGAGTTACAGTGAAATGTCTCAGCACTTGCCACCAAGTCTGACAAGTTAAAGTTAGCCCCCAGGTCCACATGGTAGAAAGAACTGACTCCTACAAGTTACTTCTGACTGCCACACACATGCCTATGAATGCACTTGCATGTGTGCACACATACACATACAAAGTAAGTAAATAAACAAACATAGTTTTAAAAAAGAAATATTTTGGGACAGGCATAGTGGCACATGTCTTTGACCCCAGCACTTGGGAGGCAGAGGCAGGCAGATCTCTGTGACAGTCAAGCTACATAATGAAATCCCATCTCCAGAAAAAGTTTTTTGGATTCTCCCTCCCCCAGCTTGCTTATTTCAAGGTATTTCCATTATTATTTTTTCTTTCTTTTAGCTTTCTCGAATGGAGTATGTACACTCAAAGAATCTCATTTACCGAGATGTCAAACCAGAGAACTTCTTGATTGGCCGACAAGGCAATAAGAAAGAGCATGTAATACACATTATAGATTTTGGACTGGCCAAGGAATATATTGATCCTGAAACCAAAAAACACATACCTTACAGAGAGCACAAAAGCTTAACTGGAACTGCGCGATACATGTCTATCAACACACATCTAGGCAAAGGTGTGTTTGAAAGGGGCAGGTTATGTGAGCATCTTTTTTTCCAGTAGCACTTTACTGTTCATTACATTGGGCATTACAACTTGTACCATTTGTTGCATCATAAGGTAAGTGACATTTTTGTACTTGAGAGATTGAAATGGTAAGTTAGTGATGTTCCCATATATCTTAATACTGTGTTTTCTAATGCTTCGTTCTTCAGTAGTTTAAGAGTTATTGCAAGATGATAGTAGTATTTGGGTTAAGTAACAAGACTTGTATTTACATGTGTATGACTATGTATACACATTAAAAAGAGGACATCGAGCTAGTCCTGTGTTAATGAACAGGTTTCACTAAACATAGACGATGAGGCTGGAGAGATGGGTCACCAGTTAAGAGCTCTGGCTGCCCTTCCAGAGTACCAGGTTTGGTTCTCAGCACCCACATGTCAGCTCATAACCATCTGTAACTTTAGTTCCAAGGAATCTAATCTGTTCTGAACTCTTTGGGACCAGGAACACATGTGGTACACAGACATACATGCAGGCAAAACATGATGTGGATAGAATGATTAGCCCAGTGGGTTATCCCACATGGCAGTTATCTTTATTATTCTACAGAGTATACTTTGGGCATCTACCCTCTATGATAGTAAAGCACTAAATCATCTTGATGTGCTGCATTTGCCACTAGAATTATCTCCAAAGTTAGGTTTCATGAGGTCCAAGTGTTCTTCAGGTCAAATCTAATATGCCGTACCATTATGTTTGTTCTCTACATACTGTAAAGAATTCTCCCCTCCCCCTTCATGTATGGTGTGTGTGTGTGTGTGTGTGTGTGTGTGTGTGTGTGTGTGTGTATACGTGTTTGTTTTCAAGACAGGGTTTTACTGTATGTAGCCTTGAACTCAGAGATCTGTATACTTCTAATTCCCAAATTCTAGAATTAAAGACATGTGCCCCTGTGCCTGGCAAAAATTCTTGTAATTGGGTATAGTAGTGCACATCTTTAATTTCAGCACTCTAGAGGCATAGGCAGATAGGTCCCTGAGTTTGAAACCAATCTCATCTCCATAGCAAGTTCCAGGCCAACTGAGATTACCTAGTAAGACCATGTCTCAAACAAAACATAACTCATAAACTATCTCAGGTATCGCACTAGAGAAGTGTCCATGGGAGCTCTAATGTTGTTGGTTTTTAAATGTGTTCTACCTGGCATGACATCAGATGAGCTACCTTCCGTTGACTAAGACAGCCCAGCTGAACAAAATATGTTTAGCCTAAAATTGGGGTGTTGTGCCTATAAAGCAAGCACATTTTTTTTTAAACCTGAAAGTGAGCCTTTACCATGTTGAAGGCAATTGTGTCTTGTTCATTTCCTAGTAACAAAATTCTTCTTTGAAAATAAAACAAAACAAAAAACCCACTGTGAAAAAGTGAGGAGGACCTATTGAATTTTTGAGTTAAACAAGTACAGAGTATCCAAACAAGTATGGAGAAAGCACATGCTGGTTTTCATTAACATTTTAAGACCTAGCTGCACAGTGGTGGCACACACCTTTGATCCCAGCACTTGGGAGGCAGAGGCAGTGAGTTAGAGGCCAATACAGTCTACAGGGCAAGTTCTAGGACAGCCAGAGCTCCACAGAGAAACCCTGTCTCAACTTAAAGAAGGAAAGAAACAACAAAAGAAGATTTAAGATTAATAGTTTAATATTGATTATTTTAAAATTTTAGAGCTCAAAAATGGTTTTTCAAATTATTTAAAGTGACCACATTATTTTCATATACCAAACCGAGGCCCAAAGTAGGTGGCTTGGCTGTGTTTTCACTTTACTGAATGTAGTTAGTATGAGTTAATAGAAACGGTGGACATAGACCTCGATCTCACACCTAGTTTAAGTATCGTGTTTCTTTATTCTATGTCCCAGAGCTAGGTTTTTATCCTTCTCAGGACTTAAAGAGCTACATCACATTTTGTTTGTTTGTTTGTTTGTTTGAAAATTGTAAATCTGTGGAGAGCTCGCCCTCTAGTGCTCACTTAGCTACAATTCAAACATTTGCCTACAGAATTTTTTTAATTAATTAATTTATATATTTTTTAAATTTACATTTCAGATGTTACCCCTTTCCCCATTTCCCCCCCACACCCAGAAACCCCCTATCCCATCCCCCCTCTTCCTGCTTCTATGAGGATGTGCCCCCTCCCACCCACCCACTCCCATCTCCCTGCCCTTGAATTCCCCCACACTGGGGCATCTAGCCTTTTCAGGACCAAGGGCTTCCTCTCCCACCTATGACTGACAATGCCATCCTCACTTACATATACAGCTGGGGCTATGGATCCTTCCCTATGTGTTCCCAGACTGGTGGTTTAGACCCTGGGAGCTCTAGTTGGTTGGTATTATTTTTGCTCTCCCCATGGGGCCGCAAACCCCTTCAGTTCCTTCAGTCTTCTCTCTTACTTCTCCATTGGGAACCCCATGACCAGTTCAAAGGTTAGCTGTGAGCATCCGCCTCTGTATATGTCAGGCTCTGGCAGACCTCTAAGGAGACAGCTATATCAGGCTCTTGTCAGCATGTACTTCCTGACATCCACGTCACCATCTGCCTTTGGTGACTGAACATGGGATGGATACCCAGGTGGAGCAATCTCCGGACCACCCCTCCTTCAGTTTCTGTCCCACACTTTGTCTCCATATTTGCTCCCATAAGTATTTTGTTACTCCTTTTAAGAAGGATCGAAGCACCGACACTTTGGTCTTCCTTCTTCATGAGCTTCATGTGGTCTGTGAGTTTAATCTTGGGTATTGCGAACTTTTGGACTACTATCCACTTATCACTGAGTGCATCCCATGTGTTTTCTTTTGTGATTGGGTTACCTCACTCAAGATGATATTTTCTAGTTCCATGCATTTACATAAAAATTTCATGAATTCATTGTTTTTAATAGCTGAGTAATAACTCCATTGTGTTTTCTGTACTTGTCCTGCTGTTGAAGGACATCTGGGTTCTTTCCAGCTTCTGGCTATTATAAATAAGGCTGCTGTGAACATAGTGGAGCATGTGTCCTTGTTGTATGTTGGAGCATCTTCTGGGTATATGCCCAGGAGTGGTATAGCTGGATCCTCAGGTAATGCTATGTCCAGTTTTCTGATGAACTGCCAGACTGATTTCCAGAGTGGTTGTATCAGCTTACAGTCCTACCAACAATGGAGGCTCTACTCAATGATAACTTGGTCAAGGAAGAAATTAAGAAAGAAATTAAAGACTTTTTAGAATTTAATGAAAATGAAGGCTCGTCATACCAAAACTTATGGGACACAATGAATGCAATGCTAAGAGGAAAACTCATAACTCTAAATGCCTCCAAAAAGAAACTGGAGAGAGCATACACTAGCAACTTGGCAGCACACCTGAAAGCTCTAGAACTAAAAGAACCAAATACACCCAAGAGGAGTAGACAGCAAGAAATAATCAAACTCAGGGCTGAAATCAACCAAGTATAAACAAAAAGAACTATCCAAAGTATCAACAAAACCAGGAGCTGGTTCTTTGAGAAAATCAACAAAATAGATAAACCCTTATCCAGATTAACCAGAGGGCACAGAGACAGTATCCAAATTAATAAAATCAGAATAAAAGGGAGACATAACAACAGAAATTGAGGAAATTAAAAAAAAATCATCAAATCCTACTACAAAAGCCTATACTCAACAAAACTGGAAAATCTGGATGAAATGGACTATTTTTTAGACAGATACCAGGTACTAAAGTTAAATCAGGAGCAGATAAACTATCTAAATTGTCCTATAACCCCTAAAGAAATAGCAGCAGTCATTAAAAGTCTCCTCACAAAAAAAAAAAAAAAAAGCACAGGACCAGACGGTTTTAGTGCAGAGTTCTATCAGACCTCAAAGAAGACCTAATACCAATTCTCTTCAAACTATTCCACAAAATAGAAACAGAAGGAACACTACCCAATTAGTTCTGTGAAGCCACAATTATGCTCATACCTAAACCACACAAAGATACAACAAAGAAAGAGAACTTCAGATCAATCTCCCTTATGAATATCAATGCAAAAATACTAAATAAAATTCTTGAAAACTGAATCCAAGAACACATCAAAACAATCATGATCAAGTAGGCTTTATACCAGGAATGCAGAGATGGTTCAATATAAGTAAATCCATCAGTGTAATCCACTATATAAACAAACTCCAAGAAAAAAACCACATGATCATCTCACTGGATACTGAGAAAGCATTTGACAAACTTCAACATCCCTTCATGGTAAAAGCCCTGGAAAGATCAGGAATTCAAGGTCCATGCCTAAACATAGTAAAAGCAATAGACAGCAAACCAGTAGCCAACATCAAACTAAATGGAGAGAAACTTGAAGCAATCCCACTAACATCAGGGACTAGACAAGGTTGCCCACTCTCTCTGTATCTATTCAATATAGTAGTGGAAGTCCTAGCCAGAGCAATTAGACAACAAAAGGAAGTCAAAGGATTTCAAATATGAAAGGAAGAAGTCAAAATACCACTATTTGCAGATGATATGATAGTATACTTAAGTAACCCCAAAACTTCTACCAGAGAACTCCTAAACCTGATAACTTCAGCGAAGTGGATATAAAATTAACTCAAAACAAATCAGTAGCCTTCCTCTACTCAAAGGATAAACAGGCTGAGAAAGAAATTAGGGAAATGACACCCTTCACAATAGTCACAGATAATATAAAATACCTTGATCTGAATCTAACCAAGCAAGTGAAAGATCTGTATGACAAGAAGAAGTCTCTGAAGAAAGAAATTGAAGAAGATCTCAGAAGATGGAAAGATCTCCCATGATCATGGATTGGCAGGATTAATATAGTAAAAATGGCCAACTTGCTGAAAGCAATCTACAGATTCATTGCAGTCCCTATCAATATTCCAACTCAATTCTTCATAGAGATAGAAAGAACAATTTGCAAATTCATTTGCAATAACAAAAAACTCAGGATAGCGAGAACTATTTTCAACAATAAAAGAACTTGTAAGTGAATCACCATCCCTGACCTAAGGCTGTACTACAGAGCAATAGTGATTAAAAACTGCATGTTATTGGTACAGTGACAGGCAGGGAGATAAATGGAATAGAATTGAAGACCCAAAATTGAACCCTCATGCCTATGATCACTTGATCTTTGACCAAGGAGCTAAAACCATTCAGTGGAAAAAAGCATTTTTAACAAATGGTGCTGGTTCAACTGGAGGTCAGCATGTAGAAGAATGCAAATCAATTTGTTCTTATCTCCTTGTACAAAGCTCAAGGCCAAGTGGATAAAGGACCTCCACATAAAACCAGATACACTGAAACTAATAGAAGAAAAGGTGGGGAAGAGCCTCAAATACTTGGGCACAGGGGGAAGTTCCTGAACAGAACACCAATGGCTTATTCTTTAAGATCAAGAATTGACAAATGGGACTTCATAAAATTGCAAAGCTTCTGTAACACAAAGGACACTGTCAATAGGACAAAACAGCAACCAACATATTGGGAAAAGGTCTTTACCAATCCTACATCCAATAGAGGGTTAATATCCAATATATACAAAGAACTGAAGAAATTAGACTTTAGACAACCAAATAACCCTATTTAAAAATGAGGTACAGAGCTAAACAAAGAATTCCTAACTGAGGAAACTCAAATGGCCAAGAAGCACCTAAAGAAATATTCAACATCCTTAGTTATCAGGGAAATGAAAATCAAAACAACCCAGAGGTTCCACCAGTTAGAATGGCTAAAATCAAAAACTCAGGTGATAGCAGATGGTGGCTAGAATGTGGAGAAAGGGAATTTTTTACTATCAAGAGTCTTCCTGGGCTGGTGAGATGGCTCAGTGGTTAAGAGCACTGACTGCTCTTCCAGAGGTCATGAGTTCAAATCCCAGCAACCACATGGTGGCTCACAACCATCTGTAATGATATCTGATACCCTCTTGTGGGGTATCTGAAGACAGCTACAGTGTACTTACATATAATAAATAAATAAAAAATTTAAAAAAAAAAAAAAGAGTCTTCCTGTTACATACAGGAAACATGTGAAAGTGGAGAAGTTTGATAAGGTGTGAGGAACTCTCCTGCTGTGTTTCCCATTCTGCTCTGCCTACCTCACATACTCTGTTCTTGTCATTATTTCTTATGCTCTGGTAACAGACTTTTTGTCTGACTACTTGTTTTCAATCCTGTAACATTTTATTGCAAATTTCAGACAACCCATGCAGGCAAAATTGTCTGGAGAGCTTGCTGTTTAATTACATCCTTTTACACACTTTTTCCTTTCTTCTTTTTTTTTTTTTTTTTTACAAATCAATATATAAATCCTTTATTGCCCAGATTGTACTTGTGATCAGGATCTTGTTTCTGGAGCTAGGAATCTGAGGCCTCACTTGTCAGCCTGCTGCATGGTTCCCTTCTTAGACACATAGATGCCATCCAAAAACTTTCTGATATCTTTGTTTTTAACTGTTGTAGCTTGCTGAATCAGAGCCGCTGAATTTGAAACAAGTTCAATATCATTTCCTTCAAGGATTCATCCTTCTGGGCTTGGGAGACAGAACAAGCAACACCTGTCCTCATCCAAACCCTGCGGATGTATTTTTCACCCAAGAAATTTCGGATTTCAACCAAAGACCCATTCTCCTGAATAACAACATTGATGGGGAAGTGAGCATACACAGACCTCATCTTGTAACGGAAGCCAGTGTAACACCCTTGATCATGTTCTGAACACGACTGCAGATGGTTCTGACAGTGGCCAGTTCCTTTCTGTTACCCCACCATTTGTCAACCCGGAGCTTTTTCTTTTTCTTTCCAAGAAGACTCAGCGCTACGTTGATGTGATTGAAGTCCCTCCGCAGAGTTCCCCTGGGGCCCTTCACAATGACGGTGCGCCCCTTCAGAGTGATGTCGACATTTTCCGGAATGTCGACAGTCTGATTGCTGAGAATGGTCTTCATTCTCGCAGTAGATGGGGCAAAGAGCTCCTTTCTTCTTTTATTTTAGTGATTTTTAATCCAGGACCTATTCATTCAAGAGGGACCCTTCACCACAAAATTATGCCCTGGTCATGGATGTCTCCTTTTTCTACTGGATACTGCCTTTTCAAAGCCCTTTCTGTCAGGCATAGTGGCCCATTTCTGTAATCCCAGTATTGAATAAGCAGAAGGCAGGAGGATCACCAGAAGTTCAAGGCTTGCTTGAGCTTCATGGTGAGTTCCAGGCCAGCCTGGGCTAGTACTATTTACAATGCTGCCTTTTCAGAAGGGGTACCTGAAATAAAGAAAATGGCCTGGAAGGTGTATGGGTGTAGGGAGTGTTTAGAAGGCAAATGTGAGGTAGTAGCAAGATACAGTGATATGTGCAGGTGAGAGTAACAAAATAAAAGCTTTTAAGTTGCCGGGCAATGGTGGCATACGCCTTTAATCCCAGCACTTGGGAGGCAGAGGCAGGCGGATTTCTGAGTTCGAGGCCAGCCTGGTCTAGTAGAATGAGTTCCAGGACAGCCAGGGCTGCACAGAGAAACCCTGTCTCGAAAAAACCAAAAAAAAAAAAAAGGCTTTTAAGTTGAAATATTTCATCTATCCTGTAGAGTACTGTTCATTTTTATGTTGTTAAACTATTTCTTGTTATTCAGTGTGTGTGTGTGTGTTTGTGTGTGTGTGTGTGTGTGTGTGTGTGTAAATCTTATCCTTATATTATTAATCCTCCACCTCCTCCTGGACCTCCTCCAGCAATGCTCCTCTCACTTTATCTTTTCCTTTTCTTCTTCCTTCTCTTCTAAATAACCCACTGCATCCAGTTAGTTTTGTCTTCAAGAGCATAAGCCATACCCCGGAAATAAAATTACTTCCCTCTTCCTCCATCAACCATTAGTTGTCAGTCACTCCTCAGCTGAGGGTATAGCCTCATGAGCATCTTCCCCACCCATGTTGGAGTTATTGACTAGTAAGTTCATGAGTGTAATAGCCATGTCCTATCTAAAAGACAATGTTTTTTTATAGCACTCTTCTCTATCCTTCAACCTTTACATTCTTTCCACATCTTCTTCTGTGATGATCCTTGAGTCCTGCTGGAGGATACAGATATCCCATTACGGGGAGGCACTCAACAGTCACTTATTCCTGGGACATTGACAGTTAGGAGTCTCTAAGAAACTTCTCTGGCAAAAGTTGAGAGCAGCACTAACATATGGGTCTAAACATAAATATTTAGTAGGCAGTTTGAATGTCTTTAAGCAAACAGCAATAGTAGGTTCCCCACATAGGGCCCATTTCCTCACCAGCATGATACTTTGACCAGGTTTACAGTAATACTACTCATTCCTTTTTGTGCAAGTTTCTCATAATTTGAGGTAGTAGTTAGGTATGTTGTGCTGTATTTTTAGTTTGTGGCTTTCCCAGCCTATATGATAATCTTGGATTTTACTTTGAGCTCAGAAGATCAGAATCACGGTGAAGGCGATAACTTAGCAAAGTGGTGTGATGCAGTCCTGTAATCCCAACACTTGGGAGGCTGAGTGTATAAGGATCATGAGTTTTAGGCCAGCCTGTCTTAAAAAGTAAAACACGTTAAAGGTAGTCTCCTAATTCTCCTTATGTACATACACACACATACATCTCCCATTCCCACCCCTCATTTTCAGCCAGGGTATCATGTAGTCTAAGCTGTCCTTGAACTCACCAAGATCATCTGCCTCTTTAGTGCTAGGGTTAAATATGTACACCGCCAAGCCCGGCTGAAACTCTAAACTTGGCTAAAACAGAAAGTAAACACAAATCATGCCTGTAATTTTAACACTTGAGAAGTGGAGACAGGATGATCATCCTGAGGTACATAGCAAATTTGAGGCTGTCTTGTGCCACATTAAAGCCTAGCTCTGTAAGACAAGAACAATAAATAATAAATGTCTTGATGAGCCATAACTGCTAAGTTCAAAGTAGATGCATGTACTAGTTAGTATTCAGTTGCCATCCAAAGATTATATTTTCTCAGATAAAGTCACACATTTTTATGAACTAATCCACAGTTACTAATTAATCTTCCTATTACAAAAGAGAGAAAATCTAGCAACTTATTTTAGTCAAATTCCCAAGATAGCAACTTGTTTTGTGTATCCATAGAGGACACCTTTAGTGTTAAACCTTTAGTTTTAAGGTGATTATGGGAGACTTGATTCAAGTGGAATATTAGCCAAGAAGTGATATATTGTTCTGTGCTGACTTGAAACTAAAGTGTTAGTTTTTGTGATGAGTTAAAATTGCTAAACATTTGGGGGAGAGGGATGATGGTGCTTGCTTTTAATCCCAGAGCAGGCAGATCTCTGTGAGTTCGAGGCCAGCCTGGTATACACAATGACAGCCAGCCAGAGCTACACAGAGAAACCTTGTCTTAGAAAAAATTTTGCTAACATGTATACTAGCTGTTCTGCATCTTGTATCTTTGCAGGCCTAGTCCAAGTGCATCATTGTAAAGTAGCTTCAGCTGCTCAGACTGCTGCTCAGTTTCCCTTGTGGTAACCAAAGTAAACAACTCCTGCTTGTTCATGTATTATCTCACTCTCAGGCAGGTGACAGTGTTGAAAACGGAGTGCTCTGTCCACCAGCTAGCATTGGATCTTGGTTTTAATTTAGAGTTTACTCTTCACTTCCTCTTTGCTTGATAGCAACAAAGGACGGCCACCTATTGTTTTTTCAGTTTTAATCTAAAATATTATACCTGGTTCAGGTGTACAAAGACGAGTAAGCAGAGCCATTCTAGAGCAGAAGGGCTTTGGGAGGGATTGTTTGGGTTTCAAGCTCTTTTTGTTTTAATAACTGCAAACATAATGTGTGTGATCTGTCTTCCCTCTTAGAGCAAAGCCGGCGAGATGATTTGGAAGCCCTAGGCCATATGTTCATGTACTTCCTTCGAGGCAGCCTACCCTGGCAAGGACTCAAGGTATCCTTGAAAGTGCTTTGTGTCTGCTCAGTTGATAATGAAAGGGCTGCCTAGTGTAGTGTCTCTAAAAAGCACAAAAGGTTGGCTTCAGAGATGAGAAGCAGGGATTTGTGACATTCATCCACATTGTAAATGGTTACCTGGGCTTTGGGAGCTTGGTTTGTTCATGTTTGGCTTCCTCGCCTTCCTGTCTTAACCCCTGCCTCTCTGTGTTGGGTTTCCATACTCCTTCCTTCCGTCACTTTTCCCAGCCATGACAGTGCTGCTTTTTTCTGCCTGTCGGTGGCCCTCCTCCACACCACTACAGAGCAGGAGGAGCAGTCCCCAGCTATTGGGGAAAATTTACAACAAATCAATGACAGCAGCTGCTACACATTTACCAAAAAAAAAAAAAAAAATCAACAGGGTTTTTCAGCCTCCTAAGGAGAACTGGAAAATATGTATTAATCTTACATAGGTAAAGGACTCACCTTAACAAAAATAGCAGAAAAAAAATTCAGGCTTAACCTTGCTGTTTGTTTAAATACATTATTGAATAAATAACTTTCAAATAATAGCCATTTCTTGCAAACATAAGTTTTAGTCACTTTTTTAGGTAGATGCTTCTTCTTTTTTTTTTTTTGGTTTTTTGAGACAGGATTTCTCTGTGCAGCCCTGGCTGTCCTGGAACTCACTCTGTAGACCAGGCTGGCCTCGAACTCAGAAATCCGCCTGCCTCTGCCTCCCAAGTGCTGGGATTAAAGGCGTATGCCACCACCCCCCGGCTGGTAGATGCTTCTTTAGGTAGATATGAGTAAACTCTTAATACAGTTATAAGCATTATAATTACTCTGTAGCTGTTACTAGGAAGCTTAATCTCTCTTAACTCTTCCCAAAGCCCTTTAGATAGTCAGATGTAGGATATATTTTTAGTTGTAATTTACTTCAACATATTAATATGGAAAGAATCTTAATCTGTAATTTGAGGTATTCATATACTTCCTTCCTCCAGGTTGGCAAAATAATCCATCTTTCCATGCATTCTAGGACATGGCTTCTACACCCACTCATTGTCACTGATTAAACACAGGGCCTTGTACATTCTAGGCAAATGTCCTTTCTCTGAGCTACAGCCAGACCCTCCTATTTTCTTAAAAAAAAAAAAATTGTCTTAAATTTTTCTTCTGACAACTCTCATCTATAATCATCTAGTCATGTATGTCCTTTCATTGATAGTGACATGTTACATATAGCTACACATCGAGCTTGCTGGTAGTGTTACTTGCTTGAAATTCTCATGGATTGAGACCCCATTTTGGTGGTAGTAGTGGATTTAGAATCTCTCCAATTTACTTTTTCATGCTGTTAAAGTAAATTAGTAATTTACTTTACTAATTCATTAAATTAGTAAAGTAATTCTGGGTGAAGCAGGCTGGTTAAAGCCTAAGGAAGCGCCCAAGGTCCAAGAGCCTCCTGTGTTTATTCCTTATGCTGTATTTGGACTGCTCTGACCCACTGGCACACATTTACTTGTAAGCAACCCCCTATTATGCAGGTATCTTTCATTTGTTTGAAAAGGTTTTATTTGTTGGTTGGTTTCCCTTGTCGGTAAAGCTGTCTCCTTAACCCTGAGAATATTACTTAAAGGATTCTTCTCATTTCTTGTTTTTCCAGTCTTTTGAACTTGACACTAGTTTTACTGTCCTTTGAAGTAAAAAAATAAATTACTAACTATAGAAAAGTTCACAAAAAGTTGTGACTTCACCTGAGAAAACATATTCTTTGAATGTCAACTGAATAATACATGCATCTACTCTGACCTCTACCAGAAACTGGAACTGACCTTAGAGGGAGAAGGGCTGAATCACTTTGAACTCTTAACTGGCTATGGCAGTTTTTCTAAGCTGCTGCGGTTTTTAAAACACAGCTGCATAATGGTTTTTTTTCTTATCCTATCTGTACATCTCATCTGAGATTACTGAACATATTTGCAAGTGAAACTTTCTAGAGCTCAGCAGAGGTTTGTAGGTCTCTAAACACAGCATGACTTAAAAAAGTGAGATCCACTAACAAATCCTACCTGTTTGAGCAAAAATAACTATTGTGAATACTAGAGAGATGACTCTGGTTTTAGAGCATACAGAGCTCTTGTAGAACACCCATGTTCATTTCCTAGCACCTTCCAGTTAACTCACAGCCACCTGTAACTCCAGCTGCTGGGAACTTGCCTCCTCTTTTGGCCTCCTCGGGCACATATGCCACATACAGATACACACACATACACATAATTGAAAGTAAAATTTTTAAAAAGACTATAACCCCAGTGTCTGAAAACATCCTTAAACCTACTTACTTAGTATGTTTTTCCAGGTGATTTTATTTCTTTACTTTCTACAGGCTGATACATTAAAAGAGAGATATCAAAAAATTGGTGATACCAAAAGGAATACTCCCATCGAAGCTCTCTGTGAGAACTTTCCAGGTACGATGCTAAAATGATAATATGCAGCCAGTGTGACTAATACTTCGAAGTAGGTAATGTCATAGTATCTATAAATACTAATAGATATTGATTGGCCAGATCATTTAAATTTCTTTTTATTATTATTCAGCCTAAGGAAGGTATCACTTTTATTTCATCTATAAAGAAAATATTACTATCAGGTAATCTGTATAGATACCTCTTGTGTGGCTCAGAGCTTACTTAACCTTTGGGGAAACATTCAGTTAACAGGAATGGCTTTTTACCTCTTTCTTAACAGAGGAGATGGCAACCTACCTTCGATATGTCAGGAGATTAGACTTCTTTGAAAAACCTGATTATGAGTATTTACGGACCCTCTTCACAGATCTGTTTGAACGGAAAGGCTATACCTTTGACTATGCCTATGATTGGGTTGGAAGGCCTATTGTAAGTATTCTTTAAAAAAATAAATGAATAAATTCCACTCCACCTTTTTACTTGCCAGTCCTTCTGCTTGAATCTTTGCTGTTTTTACAGAGGTGTCCAGAATCCACATGGCACCTAATAACCATCTGTAACTCCAGGTCAAGGACATCCAGTGCCTTCTTCTGCTCTGTGTGTGCCAGGCATGCATATGGTGTTCATACACATATTTAGGCAGCAGTTAGGCACATCAAATACAAATGAGTCTTCAAAGAGTATAATGTGTATCTAAGGATACTAGAACGTAAACTTGTCTTTTACACATTTCTTGGAATGATTCACAGCTTAGCACTATCTGTGCTATAGAAGAACTTGACTTCTGTTGGAATAGAACCCTTCCAGCACCGCAGGAAACTTGGACTTAGTGTTCTGACCAGGAGTCCACAGCATCAGTGCCTATGTTAGAAATAATGCTATAGAGCTGGGTTGGTTTTTTGGGGGAAGGGGTGTTTTTTTTCTTCCTAAAGTAGCCTGTTCTCAAATGGATTATTGAGGGCCAGGCTACCTTCCCTTCTGCAGATAACTGCACATGGGAAAACAAGATGACATGAAAGAAAAACAGTGTGGGCTGGAAAGATGGGTTAGTGGTTAAGAGCACTGATTGCTCTCCCAGATGACTTAGGTTCAATTCCCAGCACCTGCCTGGCAGCTCACAACTGTCTGTAACTCCAGTTCTAAAGAATCCAACACTCTTCTGGCCTCCTCAGGCATTGCAAGCATGTGGTGCACAGACATATGTGCATGTCAGACACCCATACACATAAAAAATGAATTTAAAATTTTGGGGGGTACCTCTTTTATTATTATTATTATCATTTTTATTTTTATTATTATTTGTCTTTAAATCTTTTTTACAATCCAGTCATTATCCCCTTCCATGTCCACACTCCCCTCCTTCCTCTGACTCCCGATTCCTCCTCCCCTCTGACTCCAAGACAATGTCCCAACCCCACCAAACCCAACCCACCCCTTCAGGCCTCCCCACTCCCTGGGCCTCAAGTCTCTCAAGGGTTAGGTACATCTTCTCTCATTGATTCCAGACTTGGCTATCCTGTGCTGTATATGTGTTGAGGTCCTTGAACCAGCTAGTGTATGCTGCCTGGTTGATGGCTCAGTGTCTGAGAGGTCTCAGCAGTCTGGGTTAGTTGAGACTGCTGGTCATCCTATGGGGTCACCTTCCTCCTCTACTTCTTCCAGCCTTTTCCTAATTCAACCATGGGGGTCCCTGGCTTCTGCCAATGTTTGGTTGTAAGTATCTGTGTCTGTCTCAGTCAGCTGCCTGTTGGGCCTCTCGGAATGCGGTCATGCTAGGCTCTTGTCTGTAAGCACACCATAGCCTCAGTAATAGTGTCAGGCCTTAGAGCCTCCTCTTGAGATGGATCCCAAGTTTGGCCGGTCACTGGATCTCCTTTCCCTCAGTCTCTTCTCCATTTTTGTCCTTGCAGTTTTTTTTTTTTTTTTTTAAACAGGAACAATTCTGGGTTAAGAGTTTTTGACTGTGGAATGGCAACCCCATCCCTCCACTTGATGCCCTGTCTATCTACTGGAGATAGATCTACGAGTTCCCTCTCCCCTCTGTTGGGCATTTCATCTAAGGTCCCTCCCTTTGAGTCCTGAGAGTCTCTCACCTTCCAGGTCTCTGGTACTTTCTAGAGGATCCCCCCACCTCCCAAGGTTGCATATTTCCATTTATTCTCTGGCCCTCAGGGCTTCACTCCTGTTCCCCCTCCCCAGTACCTGATCATGTTCCCCTTTTCCTTCCCTCTCCCACCCAGATTCCTTTCTCCCTCTGCCCCACCCCCTTGGCTGATTCCTAAGTCTATAAGAATTATTATGCTGCTGCCCTTTGCAGAGCTGTTTCATTAAACTTACTTTCCCCATTCATCATTTTGGGGAACTCTGTAGACCAGGCTGGCCTCAAACTCACAAGCTGGCCTCTCCCTCAAGTGCTGGGTTTAATGGTGTATATCACACACCACACTACCCATTTGACCTTTACTTTCATTTTTCTAGCCTACTCCAGTAGGATCAGTTCATGTAGATTCTGGTGCATCTGCAATAACTCGAGAAAGCCACACACACAGGGATCGGCCGTCACAACAACAGCCTCTTAGAAATCAGGTATGTATTCGTTTTTAGTTGTTTTAATCATTCCCCTTCTTCATAGCTAATGCTAAAACCCAGATATGGAATTCAGAAAAAGTAACTGATTTAGTATGATATTGGAATGACTGTCAGAGTAGGAGTAAATACACTGAGAAGAGGCACGTAAACTAAAGACTCTGGGCCTTAGAGACTACTCTGGTTTTCAGGAGATCTGATTATTAACTGTAAATTAGGATCTAAGATCTGAAGGACTGATGGGCATGCAGATAGACCACTTGCTATGCTCAAGGTCCTATCTGCAGTTGGATCTTGTGCCATTTTACTTTTTGTTTACTGATAAAAAGGATGGGGATTGTGTTTTCAGCTGACCTGGTATAAAATACAACCTGTGCACAAATACCCAGGTTGATTTGGAAATTGTATACGATGCCTTAAAGATGTAGTTCAGGGGTAGAATGTTTTCCTGGCATGTACAAGGCCATGGTTCAGGGTCTGGCATAGTCACCAAAAAAGGTGTTTAGAGCCCAATATGACAGAGCATGTTTTTAATCACAGTACTTTTAAATTGGAAACAGTAAGATTGCTATAATTAGAGGCCAGTGTAGACTACATAGCAATAGTCTTGTTTCAAAAAGCCAAAATAAATAGTAAGTCTTCACAGTTTCCTCTCTGGGAAGAGAAAGTGAACAAAATCAATGAGAAGCGGTAGTACAAAATAGTAACAGAAGTAGTGTTGGGAATTCTGAGTGGTAGTTTTCTGAAACCGTTTATAATGAGGTTTCAGTTTTATAATAAATAGAATGTATAGAGCTATGTGGTAGTGGCTGCATGCCTTTAGTCACAGTGCTTTGGAGGCAGATGAAGGCAGATCTCTGCGTCCAAGGCCAGCCTGATCTACAGAGTGAGTTCAAGGACAGCCAGGGCTACACAGAAAAACCCTATCTCAGAAAACCAAGGGAGAAAAAATAAAAAGAAGAATTTATAGAAAGAGAAAAGAGATAAAAGTGAAACCATAGCTATTGTATCTCTGCCCATTTTTAGTAATGGTTTAAATTAGTGTATAACATAATGAGTTTGATTAAGACAGTTTTGTACATGTGTTTTGTTGTACTTTGTTCAATTGCCCCCCCATCATCCTCTTTTCCTCTCTCACTGACCCATTTCTTCTCTTCCAGTAGTCCAGTTTCTGTTTTCACACAAATACCTACTGTTTTTAAACCTAGATCGTTCTTGTGAGAGAAAATGGAACAATTTTGTCTCCTGCTACTGTTGTCCTGTCTTGTTCTTCCCTGCTGCAGTCTCCTTATTTGTCCCCACTTTCATGTTCATGTTTCATGCTGTGGCTTGTCAGGGATAGCCACTGGCTGGCAAACCTAATGGCCTCAGGAATAAGTAGAAAGCTCTTATTTCCAAAGATCTGACAAATAGATAAGCCATGTAACAGGTAAGTGTGACACAAGGCAGAATAGAGGAGAATGAAAAAGTAAGACCTCTTGGAATTTGTTTGTTTGTTTGTTTGTTTGTCTGTTTGTGACAAGGTCTGTGTAGACAAGACTGGACTTAAACACACAGAGATCTGCTGAGATTTAAGACGTGGGCTATCGCACCCAGTCTCATTTGGAATTAGAAGGAAACATTTCTTCTAGTCAGAGCATGACATTATTTCACAGGGAATGGGAAAAAGCTGCATTTGAAATGTTCTTGGAAGAAGTAGAGACGAACAACATAGTCTAAGCAGAAAGAGCATGACCAATAATAATTATATATCTTATAAAGAAGCCCTAGTGGTTGAGGCTACAATAATAGGAAGTTTTCAAAATGCTGGAATTAACTTCAGCAGGCAAGTGGGCTATAAAGCAGAAGACTGGATGATGAGGAAATTCGCTTTAAACCATTTTTTTTTTAACTTGGCAGCTGATACTGAGACCAATGAGAAGGCTGTAGATCTTTGCTGGAGAGATAGCTCTAACGCTAAAGTACAAATATGAGGACATGTTTTTTGATAGTGAGCTATTAGTGGCACACATTTATAATCTCAGGCAGGACAGGCAGAGACGAGGATCTCGAGTGCTCACTGATCAGCCAGCTGGTGGAAACCATCAAGCTTCAGGTCCCAATGAGAGACCATGTCTCAAAAAGCAAGACAGCTGACTCCTGAGGACATGACCTCAAAGGTTGTCCTCCTGCATCCACTTGTACAAATACATGTACGTGTACTTGCGCTCATATGAACACCATAAACACAAAGCATTTCAATACTGACCTATACATCTGGATCAGATAGAGAACACTTGTTCAGCCTATTCACAATCTTGTGTTCAATCATCCACCTACATGTGAGCATAACTAAATGTCTATTTCGACCCTTTACTTTCTTTTCTGTTTTAAATTATTTTTTATTTACTCTTTGTTCTGGAGATCAACCTGAGGACCTTAGACAAGTTTGGTAATAGTGAGCTAAATTTTTAGTGCAAGCCCTCTTTTTTTTCCCCCTTTTCATTTTTATGTGACTTAAAACAAATGCAAAAACAACTTTTATGGAGTGGAGTGATAGCTCAGTTGGTAAAGTGTTTGCCCTGCAAGTATGAGGACCTGAGTAGTATTCCCAGTGTGCATGTGAAGAGCATACAATACCAATGTGGGAAAAAAAGCAGAAGACTGGTAATGAGGAGAGATGACTCAGTAATGAGGAGTACTTGTTGCACTTCCAGAGGACCCAAGTCGGGTTTCTTAAAACAAAACAGAAAAGCTGGGCATGGTAGCAGGCACACACTTATAATCCCAGAAGTGTGGAGACTAAGACAAGCAGTTCCCTGGGGCTCACTAAACAGCCAGCCTGTCCTACATGATAAGTTCCAGGCCACTGAGAGACCTTATCCCATTAATAAATACAGGAAAGAAAGAAAGAAAGGAAGGAAGGAAGGAAGGGTAGAGGGAGGGAGGAAAAGGAAAGAATGGAAGGAAAGAAAGAGAAAGAA